TCTTTTATGAAAAAATTTAATTGTTGTAGTTGTTTTTTCTCTTGTTTTCTGTTTTTTTTTTCTTCTTGTTTGTTTTTCTTTCGTTATCTTTAGTATATGTTTTACTTTTTTATATTTTTCATATTCTTTGACATTTCATTTTGTTTTTAGCATTTTACTAAATTTTAGTAGTAGATTAATAAAGCTTTAGTAAACACCAGCCTTATGTTAAATCTCTAACAGCTGTTTGTTTAATGTTAGTTTGTTTTTATATTAAACAGCTGTTAAGCTTTTTGTTTGCTATTGCTGTTAAATTCCTCTCTCATGTTGGGTTAAACTTGATTATATGCGCTCTTTAAATTGCTTTTAATCAGGGGTGGATACGTTTTTTATTGTAATAAGTATCATTCAACATATTTTTATTAGGGTTCTATAAATCAACGGTTCCCAAATGGGGGTCCGCGGACCCCTAGTGGTCCGTAGTAAAATCCTAGGGGGTCCGCGAAGACGAACGAAAAAAACATGAATAGACAATATTCTTTTATATGTATGTACAAATATCTCCAATTTTTGTGCAATAATCCCAAATTTTTTGGTGACTTTTTGAATTTTATTTTTTCGGTTGTTTATCAGGAAGAAGCTAGGCCCTACAAATTTATTGTATAACTTTTATAAAGTAAAGTATTGCGTGATTTGTAATTTTATTTCCTGTATATGTACTGAAATAATGGTTTTTATTTCAGACAAATAATACTCTGCCTTACAATTAAATTAGGGATACTGGTATTCCGGAGTATGAAGTTCAATTCAAAGACAAGCTCATTACAGATTTAAGTTTATCAAATTGTAAGCAAAAGTGTTCTCGTTTGAAGGGACTAAAATTATATATTTTCAAAACAGAGGTGACTCTTTATGCATCTCTTTATAAATATTCCAATACGACGTGATACACAGATTTTAACTTGATTTTGTCGACCAATACATGTTATTAAATTAACATCAGAAAATCCATAGCGTTTCGCGTAAATATGTAGCCAAAAACCATGAAGTAAATAATTTGTTGGTATTTTAAAATTCAAATTTAAGTTCAAAATTCACAGTACTTTAACAAAGAGTTCAAATCATATATTATGCGGATAACGCATTCCGCAACAACATAGAAGAAGTCCAACTTTCTTATATTATTTTCCCGAAAACTTAGCTCACTTACTCAGTTCACCCTTTGCAATCGCAACAAATTTTGAAACGTGACTCCTTAAGCACATGTGACAATATTTGATAAAGAAACCTTTTAGCTACCTTGAAGAAAAATGAACATGAAAGATCTCACGATCATAAAATGAAACATCATGAAACATATCAACAAAGAATTCATTCTATCTTCAAAACATGCAATTGAAAACCTATCTGAAATATTATATATTCTCAATGTACGGGAATATTTTATAGATATGACATCTCTACATTTATTAGACCTAGGGATTAATGGACTAGGTCAATTTTCGGATGGACAATTATTTAGAACAATAGAATATCAAAATATGTATGGGGGTCCGCGAAATTAAATAAGTTCTTCAAGGGGTCCGCGAAGTAAAAATCGGTGGGAACCGCTGCTATAAATCGACTTTCGAATAATCGAACAATCGACTTTTTGTCGGAAAAAGTCGAAGTCGACTATTTTGTTCCAAAAAAGTCGATAGCTCGACTATCGTCTGTGAAAAAAGTCGACTTTGTTAATAAAAGTCGAAAAGTCTGAAAGTCGAAAAGTGTGAAAGTCGAAAAGTCTGAAAGTCGAAAAGTCTGAAAGTCGAAAAGTCTGAAAGTCGAAAAGTCGAATAAAGTCGAAAAAAGTCGAAGAAGTCGAAAAAAGTCGAAAAGTCGTAAAAAGTCGAAAAAAGAGTCGTAAAAAGTCGAAAAAAAGTCGAAAGTCGAAAAAATCGGAAAAAGTCGAAACTCCAAAATTGTAGAAAAAGTTCAAAAATAGTCGAAAATTTTAAAAAAAGTGGAAAAAAAGTCAAAAACTCTAAAATAGTCGGAAAACCCCGAAAACAGTCAAAAAATAGTCGAAAAAAGTCGAAAGAAGTCGAAATAGTCACAAAGTCGAAAATAGTCACAAAGTCGAAAAAAATCGGAAAATGTCGAAAAAAGTCGAAAAGTCGACTATTTATAAAATACTTATAGTCGAAAAGTCTAAAAGTCGACTTTTAATTAAATGAAAGAAGTCGAAAAATCGACTTTTCATAAAATCAAAAAGTCGAATTTTCGTTTCAACTATAGAATCCTAATTTTTATACCCTACACCAGGCATGGAAAATCGCTTATTATTGTACTTTTTTGAATAAAACCTAATAAGGTACACATGCATACATTATCTGATTCCTTATAGGCATCGAAATAGGATTAGTGATGACCGACTACGCAAACCCCGTTTTTTTTAGTTAATTTATTTAAATGTCCGTCTTTCTGAATGTTTGTTTAATTAAATTTTCCGAAGACACCTGATATGTTCAAATTTTTAATGCAATCCTTCGAGGAGTTCCTTATTTAAGTTCAAAAACTATTTTTAAGGACTGATTATTCCCTAAATATAGTTTTTTCTCATTCCTGATAAGTTTTTTCATAAACAACAGTATTTCCATTCGAATCGGTTAAAATTTCCATATAGTCATCATACAAATGTATATACTTTCGGAAAAGATTTATTTATAGTTAACTAACTTATCCTGGATCTTCGATCCCTATACCAAAGTAAAATTAAACCGAAATTAAATGAAAAATGTTCTTTTAGATTCTCATTTAATCCATTTTATGAAAGAAATCATATGCCTTGGTTCAATATAATAGATAATTCAGAAAGTGCCATTCGAAGAACCGAAAAGTACCAATAAGTAATAGTACAGGTTTTCAGGTTTCTTTTATAGGTTTTAATATAATCTAAAGGTTGTGTATTTAGTTTTATGTTTCTAGGTTCAATATTACAAAAGGTTTTGGTATCCGAGTTGCAATAAGCACACTTAATCTGCCAATTTGCAAAATTTGATCAAAATGTGTTTGAGCAAATTTAAAATTCGCCTTTTTAAGCGTTTTTTGGTACTTTTTCTCTCTCTCTCTCTAGCGAAAACTAAATTTTATAAAAAAGTACCGAAAATAAGTACGATTTTAAATCTTAAACGTCTGATTTTCCCAAAAGTACCAAACTTATATTCGAAATTTTTCAAAAAGGTTAGAATGTGATATAAGTTTTCTTCTACGTTCACTGGTTAAAAATATACATGAGGTCAAAAAAAAAAGTACCAAACTACAATTTTTACCCTTTTAATTATAAAAAGAACCGAATTTTAAAAAAGTATCAGGCACCTGACCACATTTTTTTAAAATAAACAATGATAAGTGCAATATATTTGTTGTAACTGTTTTAGTTTAGGAGATTTCCTAAATATTGGTCATTTAGATCTTTCTTAGTAAATCTACATGACCAAAAGTGAATCTAATGTTAAAATATTAGGTTTAGCTGAATATCGGTATTATCACAAAATTTTGCTTATATATGTTTGTAAATCTAAAAGCAGTAAAAATCGTATTACCGACTATGGAGTCCATAGTATGGACCTGTATATGTAAATAATTGACCATAGTTCCTTATATAGGAGCTTCCAAAAATCAATTAAACATATTTCATTAACCATATTGGGACAATCGGCATAGCCCCCTATAACTTCAAGTTTTAAGTTGTATTACAAATAAAAGAACAGTCGATATGAAGGACTTTAATATGGCGCATGTTTGAAGTACCGATTAAAAAAATAGGAATTTTATGTTATGACCTCTTGGAGTAAACATTTGATAAAAAAAGTTTGTATAAATTGTTGACCCTAAATATTAGGCGGGCATAAATCATGAATCACACCTTCAGACATCAATTGCGAATATTTTACAAAATTGCAAATTAGTGTGCATAACTGTCGTATATAGCCAAACTTGTTGATTTTGTTTATGCAAAAAAATTAAAGAAAAAATCAACTATGAGATTAAAAGCTCAATTTAAAGTTATTTGTACTCTTTAACAACCACCACTGGTCAGGCATGGAAAATTTACTACTATTGTACTTTTTGACATCGAAAAATACCACAATACCCCCTGACGTAATAAGTACTTTTTCTAAACTTTGCTAATAATAGAATTGTTAATAGACTGGTACATAGACTAATCAGTATGCTAGTTAATCGATTAGCCAAAAGAGGAGTCTTAGACTAGTCAATAGTGGTATGTCAATAGACTGATCTATAGACTAGACAATAAACTAGTCAGTAGACTAATCAATTGTATAGTCTTTAGACTAGTCAATAGGCTAGTTCATTTTTAGTTAGTCCACATACTTGTCAATAGGCAAATCTATAGTCAAGTCCATGGATTAGCCAATAGACGAGATCATAGGCTATTCAATAGATTAATCTATGGGATAATCCACAGACTAGTCAATAGATTAGTCCCATAGTTAACAGACTAATAGACTAAACCACATACAAGCTAATAGTATAGTAAATATAGACTAGTTAATGTACTAGTCAATACACTAGAATAGTATAGTCAATAAACTAGTCAATAGACTAGTTAATAGACTAGACAAGAGGCTAGTCCACTGAAATGCAACAGACTAGTTAATAGAGTTGTCCATAGTCCATCCATAGACCAGTCAATTGGTTAGTTCATTTACTAGTCAATATGCAAGTTTAAAGACTACTCAAAGCTCTTAGAAATGTAATTTAGTACTTTTTAACTTAAATAGTACTATATTCGGAAACATTTAATACAATTTCAAAATTAAAATTTTCCATGCCTGGCTACCACCCGGTCTCTATTTGTGTGAAAAAAAAGCTTTTTTGAGTTAAAAGCTTTTTGAGTTAATTTTATTAACACGCTAGTGGTGAAGTAAGTGTACATATTATTAAAAGCTTTTTTAATGTTGTTTTTGTTTTTTGTTTGTTTGGTTCCAAACAATAATCACCATTTTACTCTACTCAGTCTAGTCGCGTTTTATTGCAACGATACACATTCAATACTAAATTGAAAATAAATAAAAATAAATTAAAATTTCAAAGAAACTACTGCACAAAAACGCTAATTCATAAAATATTATTTATTTTAAAACATTCGTTTTTATCGTTTTATATTAACACTTTTATTTGTTAATAAACACTTAAGGAAATGACAACATTTGTTTATCGCAACAGCGGCCATAAACTAAATAATACTAAAACATTGAAAAATTATAATAAACAATATTATAAACAAATGAATTTTAAAGAATTTCAACAAAAATCCAAAAAAATTAAAAGGCACGAAACAAGAGAAAATACAACTAAAAGATAAAAATAAATAAGAAATAAATATTCCTCATGGTTGTAGTATAAAATTTGTAAATCGATTTTTTTATTATAGAACAAAACAAGATAAACTGTGATTTAATGACTTTGCTTTTGTAATTTTATATGTGTGCAAAAAAAAACAAAAATATTCACTAAAGAATCTCCTTAAACAAATAAAAAAATTCAATGCTCAGTTAAATTTAAAATATTAATATTTAAAAAAAAAATATTTTGAATGATTCACCTTAGAATAATTCTGTTAAATAAATAAACTTAACAAAACAACTGAAAAGAAATATAAAATTATTAAATTTTTGTGCACGTACTGTAAAATTTACATTGTTTAGCAATAACAAATAAGAAAACAAAAAATCAACTGCCTCCAAAATAAACATTATTTTATACTTGTATAGAACAAAAAATTCCTCTATACTTTTCTCCTATACAAAAACAAACAAAAAAATAAAATACATTAAACAAGTTCAAAAAGTCTTCGTTATAAAACAACTAAAATAAGAAACTAAAAACAAAATAAACAAATCAAACAGAATTTAAGAAAATATATAAATCAGTATTTTTACGCTCGCACTATTTTTTATTTATTTGATATTAAAATTGCTCATACGCCACATACTGCTGAACGTTCTTCAACTTTGTTGTTGTAGTTACAAATTCGTATTTGTAAGTGTGTCATTCGAACGCGACCTTATTCGATACAAAATTAACTTTTGTTTTTGTCACAAAAAAAAGTGTTTTAACGTTTTCGGACTAATTTTATAATCGGCTTTGAAACAAAAACAATAATCGTCATCCACCACCCAAGTAAAAACAGAAACAACACTACGAAAAACATTAACTCACCTGCCTGAATTTAACAAACAATATTTAGTTTAAATTAATTTTTTTTGTTTGTTTTGCAAATACATGAGTGTTTTGAGTTTTCGTGATATACTGCGTAAAGCCTTTTGCTGTTGTAGATCAAATCAAAAGGCTGGTAATAATGAGGTGAGTTTTCAAATGTCTCCACAGTAAACGCAAGAAGTAACAGTGTGATTGCTAGCCTATAGACTAGGCTATAGACGAGACTATAGACTAGACTATAGACTAGACTATAGACTAGACTATATACTAGACTATAGACTAGACTATAGACTAGACTATAGACTAGACTATAGACTAGACTATAGACTAGACTATAGACTAGACTATAGACTAGACTATAGACTAGACTATAGACTAGACTATAGACTAGACTATAGACTAAACTATAGACTAGACTATAGACTAGACTATAGACTAGACTAAAGACTAGACTATAGACTGGACTAGACTATAGACTGGACTAGACTATAGACTAGACTATAGACTAGACTATAGACTAGACTATAGACTAGACTATAGACTAGACTATAGACTAGACTATAGACTAGACTATAGACTAGACTATAGACTAGACTATAGACTAGACTATAGACTAGACTATAGACTAGACTATAGACTAGACTATAGACTAGACTATAGACTAGACTATAGACTAGACTATAGACTAGACTATAGACTAGACTATAGACTAGACTATAGACTAAACTATAGACTAGACTATAGACTAGACTATAGACTAGACTAAAGACTAGACTATAGACTGGACTAGACTATAGACTGGACTAGACTATAGACTAGACTATAGACTAGACTATAGACTAGACTATAGACTAGACTATAGACTAGACTATAGACTAGACTATAGACTAGACTATAGACTAGACTATAGACTAGACTATAGACTAGACTATAGACTAGACTATAGACTAGACAATAGACTAGACTATAGACTAGACTATAGACTAGACTATAGACTAGACAATAGACTAGACTATAGACTAGATTATAGACTAGACTATAGACTAGACTATAAACTAGACTATAGACTAGACTATAGACCAGACTATAGACTAGACTATAGACTATACTATAGACTAGACTATAGACTAGACTATAGACTAGACTATAGACTAGACTATAGACTAGACTATAGACTAGACTATAGACTAGACTATAGACTAGACTATAGACTAGACTATAGACTAGACTATAGACTAGACTATAGACTAGACTATAGACTAGACTATAGACTAGACTATAGACTAGACTATAGACTAGACTATAGACTAGACTATAGACTAGACTATAGACTAGACTATAGACTAGACTATAGACTAGACTATAGACTAGACTATAGACTAGACTATAGACTAGACTATAGACTAGACTATAGACTAGACTATAGACTAGACTATAGACTAGACTATAGACTAGACTATAGACTAGACTATAGACTAGACTATAGACTAGACTATAGACTAGACTATAGACTAGACTATAGACTAGACTATAGACTAGACTATAGACTAGACTATAGACTAGACTATAGACTAGACTATAGACTAGACTATAGACTAGACTATAGACTAGACTATAGACTAGACTATAGACTAGACTATAGACTAGACTATAGACTAGACTATAGACTAGACTATAGACTAGACTATAGACTAGACTATAGACTAGACTATAGACTAGACTATAGACTAGACTATAGACTAGACTATAGACTAGACTATAGACTAGACTATAGACTAGACTATAGACTAGACTATAGACTAGACTATAGACTAGACTATAGACTAGACTATAGACTAGACTATAGACTAGACTATAGACTAGACTATAGACTAGACTATAGACTAGACTATAGACTAGACTATAGACTAGACTATAGACTAGACTATAGACTAGACTATAGACTAGACTATAGACTAGACTATAGACTAGACTATAGACTAGACTATAGACTAGACTATAGACTAGACTATAGACTAGACTATAGACTAGACTATAGACTAGACTATAGACTAGACTATAGACTAGACTATAGACTAGACTATAGACTAGACTATAGACTAGACTATAGACTAGACTATAGACTAGACTATAGACTAGACTATAGACTAGACTATAGACTAGACTATAGACTAGACTCTAGACTAGACTATAGACTAGACTCTAGACTAGACTATAGACTAGACTCTAGACTAGACTCTAGACTAGACTATAGACTAGATTATGGACTAGACTATAGACCAGACTATAGACCAGACTATAGACTAGACTATAGACTTGACTATAGACTAGACTATAGACTAGACTATAGACTAGACTATAGACTAGACTAGACTAGACTAGACTATAGACTAGACTATAGACTAGACTATAGACTAGACTATAGACTACTACTAGACTATAGACTAGACTATAGACTAGACTATAGACTAGACTATAGACTAGACTAGACTATAGACTAGACTAGACTATATACTAGACTATAGACTAGACTATAGACTAGACTATAGACTAGACTATAGACTAGACTATAGACTAGACTATAGACTAGACTATAGACTAGACTATAGACTAGACTATAGACTAGACTATAGACTAGACTATAGACTAGACTATAGACTAGACTATAGACTAGACTATAGACTAGACTATAGACTAGACTATAGACTAGACTATAGACTAGACTATAGACTAGACTATAGACTAGACTATAGACTAGACTATAGACTAGACTATAGACTAGACTATAGACTAGACTATAGACTAGACTATAGACTAGACTATAGACTAGACTATAGACTAGACTATAGACTAGACTATAGACTAGACTATAGACTAGACTATAGACTAGACTATAGACTAGACTATAGACTAGACTATAGACTAGACTAGAGACTAGACTATAGACTAGACTATAGACTAGACTATAGACTAGACTATAGACTAGACTATAGACTAGACTATAGACTAGACTATAGACTAGACTATAGACTAGACTATAGACTAGACTAAGACTAGACTATAGACTAGACTATAGACTAGACTATAGACTAGACTATAGACTAGACTATAGACTAGACTATAGACTAGACTATAGACTAGACTATAGACTAGACTATAGACTAGACTATAGACTAGACTATAGACTAGACTATAGACTAGACTATAGACTAGACTATAGACTAGACTATAGACTAGACTATAGACTAGACTATAGACTAGACTATAGACTAGACTATAGACTAGACTATAGACTAGACTATAGACTAGACTATAGACTAGACTATAGACTAGACTATAGACTAGACTATAGACTAGACTATAGACTAGACTATAGACTAGACTATAGACTAGACTATAGACTAGACTATAGACTAGACTATAGACTAGACTATAGACTAGACTATAGACTAGACTATAGACTAGACTATAGACTAGACTATAGACTAGACTATAGACTAGACTATAGACTAGACTATAGACTAGACTATAGACTAGACTATAGACTAGACTATAGACTAGACTATAGACTAGACTATAGACTAGACTATAGACTAGACTATAGACTAGACTATAGACTAGACTATAGACTAGACTATAGACTAGACTATAGACTAGACTATAGACTAGACTATAGACTAGACTATAGACTAGACTATAGACTAGACTATAGACTAGACTATAGACTAGACTATAGACTAGACTATAGACTAGACTATAGACTAGACTATAGACTAGACTATAGACTAGACTATAGACTAGACTATAGACTAGACTATAGACTAGACTATAGACTATAGACTATAGACTAGACTATAGACTAGACTATAGAGACTAGACTATAGACTAGACTATAGACTAGACTATAGACTAGACTATAGACTAGACTATAGACTAGACTATAGACTAGACTATAGACTAGACTATAGACTAGACTATAGACTAGACTATAGACTAGACTATAGACTAGACTATAGACTAGACTATAGACTAGACTATAGACTAGACTATAGACTAGACTATAGACTAGACTATAGACTAGACTATAGACTAGACTATAGACTAGACTATAGACTAGACTATAGACTAGACTATAGACTAGACTATAGACTAGACTATAGACTAGACTAGACTAGACTATAGACTAGACTATAGACTAGACTATAGACTAGACTATAGACTAGACTATAGACTAGACTATAGACTAGACTATAGACTAGACTATAGACTAGACTATAGACTAGACTATAGACTAGACTATAGACTAGACTATAGACTAGACTATAGACTAGACTATAGACTAGACTATAGACTAGACTATAGACTAGACTATAGACTAGACTATAGACTTTTATGTTGGCGGATCACAAAACGAGTCCATTTTCTTTGTTAAACAGTGTTGTGAGGAACAATTTTATTTGATTCTATTCCACAACTAAATTAAAGACACCTTTCCACTATTGTTAAAAATAAAAATAACTTGAAATGTTATATGATATTACCACAGTTCTAATTGTTTCACTTATTGTACAATTTTATTTGAACTGTTAATTAAGGTGAAAGTTGTACAATGTAATTCACCACAAATTAGATATTTAATTATAAATTAAGTCAAGAACTTTTGTGAATTTTCCATTTGCGGACGTGATAAATTAAACACTTTCATTTGTTTTCAATATTTTTATAGTTTTGCTCATTTTCTGACTAAAGCTTACAAATCTGACGAGTATTGAAATTTCCTATAAAACATATAGTTTTATTGGAAATAATTTTAGTTAGATGTAGGGTATAATATGTCTGATAACGACTTAAATATTTGCAATTTATTTTTGCTTTAAAAAATTAATATTAAGTACATGTCAACTGAACATTGATGATTAATATAATTTATACAAAGTATGACAAATTTAAATAAGCTTGCCAATTTAGACATGTCTTAATTAAAACCTGCTTATAATACAAATAACTAACGAAATTGTTAAGAATTTTGAGGTTATATTTACAGTGGACGTCCACTAGTACGAATTATATAGTGTCAGGCCCTTTCGTAATACCGAAAAATTCGTATTATTGAACAACACATTTTGTATGTTTAAATTCAAATA